CCGCATCGAGGCGCCCTGACCGCGGCATCACCCTGCTCAGGATTCCAGCGGCGAGTCGGCAGGTCTCCAACTGACCCCGACATATTTGCCGAGAGGCCCGACACGATCCCACCGGGGCTTTCGCGCACGGGAGCTGACTGAGTCAGCAGCTACCGATGGGGTCGGCTCGGGCGACGCCAGCACTGGCCGCGCGAGAGCTGAGCGCCGCCGCGGCGATGAAAGCTTTTAGCCAAGTGCCCAGCCCGCCGCGCTCAAGCGCTCTGTGAGCGTGCGGCTGAAGTGTGGATACGTGAGCTTCAGTTCAACGCTCCTGACGCAATTAGGTGCTTCGTCGCGGTGCTTAACGTCTGGACGGCACAGTACGTCTGCCCCGTTCTGGGCACAATCCGCTGGCGGATCTTTAGCTGTGACCTGAGCAGCCGTGTTATCACTGTGTCGGACTGAGAAATATCGATAAAATCGAGTTATGTGAGATGTCATAATTTCATTATAGCATCAGCTGCAAACCCATTAGGTTCGTGGCAAAGAGGTTTGATAGTACGCAGATCACCTCAAGTTAAAAGGCCTCGCGACTGTCAAGTCAACATTACCCTTTACAAACTCAAGACCACTATTCATTCTTCAATATGTACCATACTTAAGCATCACTGCGACTAGAGGCGGCATCAGGGGCGCAGCTGAGCACGATCAGTTCGGAGGGATCAGAGCTGATCCGCGTGCGATACCCCAAATACTCACTATAACACCCCAAATACTCATCAAATACTAATATGCGCAAGCCAACTCTGGCGCTTTCAAAGCTGCTGTTGTCCGCTGCTTTGGATACATGGAACCGTCCGAGTGGCCGTTTACAATATCTTAAAAAGTGAAATGACGCGAGGATTCGGGCGATGACTGATGAAAGAGACTGAAGGCAGAGTTGGTATATGACAACGCCTGCTAGCAAGACGTTTTTACATATCGCAGTAATATGTCAAGAAAACACTCAAGAAAGAGGGACTAAGTACAGATAGCGAGCAAACGTATCATAAGTTGTAGGGCACAAAAGAACGCATTAAAAGACCTACACCCACATAAAAGACCCTGAGGACCGATGTCCAGCGCATATGCCAAACACATCGTGATTGGTAGCATACATTTAGAGTCAAAACACTCAGCTGTTTTTCAGCCGTGCCATCTTCACGGAATGGGCTCATTCCTGTTGGGAGATGCTGAAGCCGGGGTCCTCTTCAGCTAAGCTGTCAGGAAGTGCATGCCATGCTCCATGTCCATGACCAAAACATGTGCGTCACCAGCGTGTTGGTATGTGGCTGCGCCTTTGGAGTCAAGTGACAAATCACTTTATAAAAAGGAAAATTGTGGCGGCTCTAATGACGCCCCCCAACAAAGTCTGCTGATGATGGAAAGTGGGGAAGAGACGGTGCGTTTCCCGTTGCTGTTGTGCATGCGGGCTTGTGTGTGATCGTGCAAGTTTCCAGCCGCTCAGCGTCAATATTGCAGTGATTGAGTTTTGTCAGAAGTTTATTGAGGCTAACTGCATCAAACATTCCTCGAGATCAATCAAAGCCAAAACAGGAACTTTACTTCGGCCTGTACAGGCTACGGTGTTTTCAGCTGCTTCGATAAAGGCTGCCTCAGTTAAACAATGGTATTTATAGCCGTTCTGTGAAAGAGCCAACGGGTCATGGCGTGTAAAAGCAACCGCCAAGCCAGGGATATGCGATGTGTTTAGCAATTTTCCAGTCAACGTAACTAACAGAAATTTGTCTAGGTGTAACAGGGTCCGTGAAACCATTCGTTTCACAAAAAGATGTTATATAAAAATCCTTCCATGCGTTTGGCACCAGTTCGGTGGCAACACATCCATTAATATAATCTACAAGGACACGCCAGACGGAACCGAAAGATCGTTGTATGATTTGGGCGCTGACGCCATTACCACAAGTGTTGGATGCATTCCTGTTACGTAGGTAAGGTAACCCCATTAAAGTCCTGTTGAAATCGACTGTGCGTTACTGAGCGGGTGACGACTGGTAAAGCTCACACTGGTTTGGTTGTCGCGTCCTGCCATCGATGACGCAGGCAACTGTCACTAAGCACACGTTAACAAAGAAGCGGTGCAGTATGCCCGGCTGCGCATCAGGCGGGGCTGTAGTTGTGACTTTGCCGCCGACCACTGGTTCCAGACGCCGCCGAGGTGCAGCTCGCTCAGCATCAGCAATGCGGTGTCTCAAGCGGTCGCTGCCGCCCGGCGCATTGTCGCACGTATGTAACAGAGCTCGCCCAGCATCAGCGATGCGGTGTCTCAAGCGGTCGCTGCTGCCCGGCGCATTGTCGCACGTATGTAACAGAGCTCGCCCAGCATCAGCGATGCGGTGTCTCAAGCGGTCGCTGCTGCCCGGCGCATTGTCGCACGTATGTAACAGAGCTCGCCCAGCATCAGCGATGCAGTGTCCCGAGCGGTCGCTGCTGCTCGGCGCATTGTCACATGTATGCAACAGAGACACGAATTTCCCCCAAAATGCCAGACCGCGGCCCGGCCCGCCCCAGCCAGCCAGGGATCCAGCCTGCAGGAGTCTGCCATGACCCTTTATTAGCCTATTATACCTAAGTTAATTGCAATCTACATGTTGTCGTTTCTCCTTTATAACAAAAAGCGCCTTACCCTCACAATGGTAGCCAAGGGCAGAAAGTCGCTGTGTTCCAATCAGTCACCCTCTTAATTACTCAATGAAATCAGCCCAAGCTTTGAAAACTTTGGTTGTTATTCATGAGTTTTTTCAGTGAGCTGTTTGCTCAAAGCTGTTCAATTTGTGCAACATGGTTCACTGGTGCCATGTCTGCAAGGAGCTTTCGTCAATGAAACTTTTTATAAAGAACAAGATTTGAGTTGCTTATGATTGTGCGGTGTTTTGTAGCACACATATTTTTATGGTTCAAAAACTGAAGTACAAAAAATCCATCATTTTTGGGGTACAATGTTTCGGCCCGCGTAAGCACGTCAAGTGCTGCCCACAACCCGGCCAAAAAATCGCGGGTTCTTGCGGGTCCGACGTTAGCAGGTTAGTGGGTTGGAAAGTTCCGTATCCAGCATGCAGCTTTCTGTTCAGGACCTCGCGAACGGGGCGGTCAACTCCACCCGCCAAAGCTCCGCGCCGCTGCCGCCTCAGGTTAAAATGTCGGCCGAGGTTGGCCGAGCGGTCGGGTCACGCAGCTCAACGTTCCTGACAAGCGCTGCAGCGTCTACGAGCGGGCCGAATTTGCCTGGGAGGAGCTGCTGCGTCTACGAGTGGGCCTAATGTGCCTGGAAGGAGTTAGTGCGTCTACGAGCGGGCCGAATGTGTCTGGGAGGAGCTACTGCGTCTACGAGCGGGCCGAATGTGCCTGGAAGGAGTTAGTGCGTCTACGAGCGGGCCGAACGTGCCTGGGAGGAGCTACTACGTCTACGAGCGGGCCGAATGTGCCTGGGAGGAGCTGCAGCGTCTACGAGCGAGCCGAATGTGCCTGGGAGGAGTTACTGCGTCTACGAGCGGGCCGAATGTACCTGGAAGGGGCTGCTGCGTCTACGAGCGGGCCGAGTGCGTCTGTAATGTGCCCCACTTGTCAGCTGGGGACCTCTGAATGAAGCCGCGATCTAAGCAGCGTTCGCCAGCCCAGCATTGCAGTGATCAAGCCGGATGCGGGTGATAAGCTTGTCCGAAGAGATGCGTGCTCCCGGTGTGCCTTCGTCATACGAGGGCATGAGTAGTCATGTAAACTACTGCGGACGAGTGTAGGCGGTCGCTCCGCCGCGCAAGACAATATCTCTGCGTGTTGTGATGATCAAATCAGGAAGGATTTAGCTGGTTGGCACGTGGCGTGGGAGGTGTGCGATATAGTTTAGCTTTTTCTATTCAGATTCTAGTTCACCGCCTCCAATCTTGATTGGCGCCACATCTCAGGAACGTGGTTACACCCATGAAACCAAACAGCACCCGGCGCTGCCTCCACGTGCCAACAGTGGCGCAAACAATTTAGTATGCGTAGCAATGTCGGGCATTGACGTATAGAGAGCTAATGTCGCGGCATGCTTTATCGCCGCTCAGGTTGAAAACATCTCAGGTCACGTCAAGCTAGTTTATTCACCGAGCTTATGCAATATGTCGGTCACTGGATTAAGTATCAGCACTCATGCACCCCAACAATGCCCACATGCAGAATAACAATGCACGACTGCGTTAATGAGGCTGCTTTCCAACGGCGAGCGGTGAACTTCACAAGCGCTGCTGCTCATGTTCTTCCGCATCAGTGCAACTGCTAACGTTGCCCGTGACGATGGATGGCATTTTAAGGAGAAGAATCCTTTCTAAAGTTATCAAACGTATCTAGATATAAAGGCTTACGTTCACACGGTAGCCAATGCCGTGACATACTGATTAAAATGGCAATGTGTACAACCGGCATTTGTTCTAAAGACAATGCTCTAATTCGATCGTTTTCACTGAAGAAGGACCTTATTTTGAATGTTTGGTATCTATGCATCAGACGCGAAGTTTTATGCGTGACAAAGTTAAATACAATATACTTAATAAAACAACCGCGTGGAGATCCTCCACTATCAACATGGGATGGGTGGCAAGAAAATAACAATGCCAACGATGCATGAACAATGCCTTCGCGGCGATGCTGCCGTCGTTAAGTCGAAAGGCAACCTCGCACGAACTCCGTGTTGACACAGCACGCCACCAGCGTCAGCATGCATTACGTCACCGTCGCCCATGAGTCGCACCGTGTATCGGAGGATGCCGAGTCGATCCTCTTCGACCTCATCCAGATCCAGATCCAGATCCAGCCCCTCTCCTTCGCCGGCCGACACTCAGCCAGCGGCAGAACGCTATCGCCACTGGACTGTCTCAGGCGGCCGGCCATGAGCCCGCCAGTAGCGGCCGACGCGCTGGTATCCATCCGTCCATCACCACCTTCCGGGTCTACCCCCCCCCCCTCCCCCCCGCCGCCGCCCATCTATCGTTAGGTAAGACCGTCACTCGGAGGCAGCCTCGGTACAGCAGTGCTCCGCTGACCGCCGCTGGGAGACAGCCTCGGTACAGCAGTGCTCCGCTGACCGCCGCTGGGAGACGGCCTCGGTGCAACGGAGTCCGCCGCTGGGAGACAGCCTCGGTGCAGCAGTGCTCCCCTGACCGCCGCTGGGAGACAGCCTCGGTGCAACGGAGTCCGCCGCTGGGAGACGGCCTCGGTGCAGCAGTGCTCCCCTGACCGCCGCTGGGAGACAGCCTCGGTGCAGCGGAGTCCGCCGCTGGGAGACAGCCTCGGTGCAGCAGTGCTCCCCTGACCGCCGCTGGGAGACAGCCTCGGTGCAGCAGTACTCCCCTGACCGCCGCTGGGAGACGGCCTCGGTGCAGCAGTGCTCCGCTGACCGCCGCTGGGAGACAGCCTCGGTGCAACGGAGTCCGCCGCTGGGAGACGGCCTCGGTGCAGCAGTGCTCCCCTGACCGCCGCTGGGAGACAGCCTCGGTGCAGCGGAGTCCGCCGCTGGGAGACGGCCTCGGTGCAGCAGTGCTCCCCTGACCGCCGCTGGGAGACAGCCTCGGTGCAGCAGTGCTCCCCTGACCGCCGCTGGGAGACGGCTTTAGTGCAGCAGTGTCCGCCGCTGGGAGACAGCCTCGGTGCAGCAGTGATTTGTCGATCGCTCCGCATCAGCGAGCAGCGGCGACAGCGGGTGGCGGCGGCCTGGGCCGTGACCCGGCCGGCGGCGCCCGGTGCCCGGCCCGGCCCCCGCGCAGCTGCGTCCGCGGGAGCGTCATCAGCTGGTGCCCGGCCCGTTCGGTGGCGCGCCTGTCTCCTCGTCGGTGCCGTCGTCGTTTTCAGTCTGCGGACAACGGTGACGTGCGGTGACGAGTCCAGCCCACACGCTGTGACCAACTGTAGCTCAGGCGAGGCCCGACAGGGCTGAGTGTACTAACAAAGAAAACGCATTCGCCACTGTAAACAGATACATGATCTTATGGCAACTTTAAGGGCTCTTATGAAAGACACGTATGTAGCTGTTCACATATGTCCTTAATATACTCATCGGCATAATATGGATGCTGATTCATCGGTACAAATTGTCTACGAATCAGTACGTTTGAGAAGACCAGTGCCAAATGCGACACTCATTACATGAATTATGTGTAATCAGCAGGTATTTTCTGCGACACTTAACAACTAAAGACCATTCGTGAGAGCAACTCACGTTTGTTGACACATCACGACAAATAATTGTTCCGCGGATAGCCACCAAAAAGAGCCAATCGCCGCTAAGCATATTTGGTTGAGGCTCTTGACATAGCAGACGCATCTGCTGGTGGCTGATGTCAACCGTTTGCATCCACAGCGGCTGGCCGGCCATCGCCCGACACCTCTTCGTAAAGACAGCATTAAGATCGGCCGTGCTGCTCACTTGGGCTCCCTCTTAGTCCGCCGCGCCGGGTTCACGCCCGCTCTGTGACGTCTGTGTCAGAGCCAAGCGTGTCCAGCATTCCTGCGTTCGCCGCCGTGCCTAGCATGCTGGGCATTTTTTTAGGCGAAGCATGAGGCCTGGGATTTTCTAACGCTATAGGCCTGCTAGCAGACGCCACCGACTCGCAGTGCTTCATGGAATGGTCTCGAATCTTGCAGAGCCAGCTGGCTGGATTATGCGCTTCAAAGGGTTTCAGGAAGTGCGACGTTTAAAGCAGGGCATGGGGTCGCTATAAACTCAGCGAGATGGGCCAGAAGGCTATTACTTTGTTCTCTGGCTGTCTGCAGGCCCTGGTTGTGCTCTACCGAAGGCCAGTGGTGCTCTGCTTAGACAAGCCATGCTGAGTCATGTGACTGCAGTCACATGGGACCACAGCCAGCTCAGGGTTAGTTGCCACCGTTCGTGCCGGTCTCGAGCCAGGAGCCTGCAGTGGCACGCGGTGTTTGCGCGCCAGACCAGCCCCTTGACGGAGCAGCTCGAGAGTTAGGGTCAAGACAGGTCTCATGGTCAGCATTTAATCCGAGCATCTGACGAACCAGGTCGCAGTTAGTATGGCGGACAGCCTTTCTTGGGCTGCATACATCATGAGTCGCTCATCTTGGCATGTCCCCGTGAACGCCCCGCTTGACCAGTCCAGACTCCAGCCGGCGGACCTTGTGACACACCTCTCCAATAGCTGGCCAGCCCCCGAGGGCAGGTCACGAAGCACGCGCACCCCTGACGGCCCTGATCCGGGTCACGGAACCGGCTGTTGGCCACTTGCAGCCAGGTCAAGCCAGGTCAGGTCAGGTCACGCCGGCAGAATCCTCACCTCCCGGCTGGTCCTGCTCGTGCCGCCGTCCGAGTCGTTGTTGGCGACCCTGGCTAGCTCGCCGCTGCAGCTGCTCCCGCGACTAGGCCCCTTGTCATTCTCCTCCTGCGACGGACACGACCAGAACGGTTCTGACCAACCACCAGAGCGGTCCCGACCAGCCGTCAGAACGGTCCTGAACACCCGTCAGAACGGTCCCAACCAGCTCTCAGGACGGCCCCGACCATCCATCAGAACGGTCCCGACCAACCGTCAGAACGATCCCGACCAGCCGTCGGAACGGTCCTGGCTAGCAGCGGAGCTGCAGCTCCTCAGCGCCAGGTTACGGTGATGCCGTCTGCTGGTGGCAGCACCAGCACCCGCTGCGCAGGAGCGACTGCACCAGATCGTCACCATGATAAACGGCACGCCAGATGTAGAGAAATGGCAACACACCAGAGTGGTGATGAGGGAGAAAAAGATGCAACGGGGTGAAGAGCATGGACCAAGAGACATCCGAGGAATCACGGAGCAGAGAGAAAAAGGCAGAGGAAAGGAAAGAGGAGAAAGGAAGAGAGAAATTAGGAAGATGGAGAATGACAGAGAAAACAGAGAGAGAGAGAGAGAGAGAGAGAGAGAGAGAGAGAGAGAGAGAGAGGGAGAGAGAGAGAAGAGAGAGAGAGAGAGAGAGAGAGAGAGAGAGAGAGAGAGAGAGAGAGAGAGAGAGAGAGAGAGAGAGAGAGAGAGAGAGAGAGAGAGAGAGAGAGAGAGAGAGAGAGAGAGAGAAAGATAGAAAAATAGAAAGCGCAATACTTTGCCACGCGCGCCCAAATGAGACGCGTGCACCCCAATTCCCTGGAATTCGGTGGTGCACAATGCATTAAAATCGGTAAGTTAAGCCGCCAGAACTGTGTCAACAGCTCATATTCGACATGTTGCTGGAAGGCAAACACGATAAGCGAGGAAAGGGACCAGCTGAGAATGCGTCAATCGGTAGCACCCGTGTTCACGACGAGAGTTGGATGCGACTCTCAGCAGTTCGGTTCAGCTTGGCGTCTCCTGAATGCCGCCATCCTGCGCTCACTCTGCTTATTAGTTCATGCCGCACTCATAAGCTTAATCAGTAGGTTATCTTGACAGTTCAGACAGCGTGTCCTAATTTTTAACGCGTCAAATGCAGAGTTCGAATTCGAGCTGCGACATTCTCCTTGTGTACGAGCTCCACGTTTGCTTTTTTAATTTTTAATTTTTAACGCGTCAAATGCAGAGTTCGAATTCGAGCTACGACATTCTCCTTGTGTACGAGCTCCACGTTACGAAACTAAAGCATGCAGCCGACTACCGCACCGCGCTGTTAAAAAGAGCAGCTGGGCGGCCGCGGCATCTCTGAAAGACCGCCCCACATATTTGTAGCGTTGGGCCCAGCTCGTTTTACGCAGCTGGCGAAGACGGCAATAAACTAGGGATCGAACGACAATTAAAATTTATCAGTCTGCCAAACGGCCTACTCCAGGGGCCGACAAGAAAATCGGTCGCCATTTATCGGAGGCATACTCGCCGCAGACTTTCATGAAGCTCCGGCGGCGGCAGCCATCAATTCGCCGGGAGGTTGTGGAGACGGTAGGCGCCATAGATAAGCAGAGAGGCGTGAGAGGAGACCCAGGGTAATACGTTGCAAAGTAATCATACGGGAAGCATTAAATCACTACCGTAAATTGTGCATGTGTGTGTATGTGTGTGTGTGTGTGTGTGTGTGTGTGTGTGTGTGTGTGTGTGTGTGTGTGTGTGTGTGTGTGTGTGTGTGTGTGTGTGTGTGTGTGTGTGTGTGTGTGTGTGTGTGTGTGTGTGTGTGTGTGTGTGTGTGTGTGTGTGTGTGTGTGTGTGTTATTCCTTTCATTGAATGCAGGACGATAATGGAGTTATTTACGGACGAAGTGAATTTGTCGTTAAGTGATATTCCAGGGAGGTAATATCGAGCACATGTCATTACAAACCACAACACAGCACCATCAAAGCCATATTTGAAAACCTGAACTAATTTAGGTTTGTGGGCGATGAAGTATAAACCTGTAGCAAAAGTAGGGACGTTCAGCCAGCGGGGATGATAGACTGCCTGACAATTGTAGGTGTCCTGCGAAGGGACCAAAAAGCTTTGCTTTCTAACGGTCCTGCTGCTCTCGCCTCCATTGCTTTGTAGGTGATGGCGTCTAGGTGAGAGTCAAAGTCGAACAAAGAAGTAGGCAACTACACATGGTCGATAAAAAGCAAATCAAAGGCTGAGTGTTCATGTTTCACTAGCAAAACAGCATCGAATTAAGCGCTTGTAAGAATGAATTAAATCGGTTGCGATCAGCTAGTCAACAAAAATCTTTACAGGCTTCCCGTATTGATCACTCGTGGAAGGAGCAGCAGCCGGCATGAAGGCGTCAATGTTCCTGCGGCGATGTTGTCGTCGTTAGTAGAAAGGAGCTCACTGCCCATTGTCCAACCGACATCGTCCCTCACCTCGCCGCTGTCTAGTTTGTAGATGTCGACTGAGTGGGTCGACTGGAAGTGTTCTATGAGCATCCAAGCGGTCATGAACGACTCTGTGCAAAGGCCACATAGCAGCATCGAGCCCACCTCATCTGACCCTGGAATGACCGGCGCCAGGGTCGGTCACAGAGTCGACCGAGGGACACTAGCATCGGTCACAGATTCGACCGAGGGACACCAGCATCGATCACAGATTCGACCGAGGGACACCAGCATCGGTCACAGAGTCGACCGAGGGACACCAGCATCAGTCACAGGGTCGAGCAGACCAACGCCAGGATCGGTCACAGAGTCGAACGGGGGACACCAGCATCGGTCACATATTCGACCGAGGGACACCAGCATCAGTCACAGGGTCGAGCAGACCAACGCCAGGCTCGGTCACATATTCGACCGAGGGACACCAGCATCAGTCACAGGGTCGAGCAGACCAACGCCAGGATCGGTCACAGAGTCGATCGAGGGACGCCAGCATTGGTCACAGTCGAGTGAGCGGCACCACATCGGTCACAGGGTCGAGCGGACCAACGCCAGGATCGGTCACAGAGTCGACCGAGGGACACCAGCATCGGTCACAGTCGAGTGAGCGGCACCACATCGGTCACAGGGTCGAGCGGACCAACGCCAGGCTCGGCCACAGAGTCGACCGGGGGACACCAGCATCGGTCACAGTCGAGTGAGCGGCACCACATCGGTCACAGGGTCGAGCAGACCCTTACCAGGATCGGTCGCGGTCGAGTGAGCGGCACTAACAGCGATCACAGTCAACCCGCCGGCAACAACGCCAGGCAGAGTCGGCCATCCGCTACAACCGCCAGTCACAGAGCCAACCAGCAAGCACCGACACCGGCCACAGGGTCAACGGACCGTCAGCAGCATTGGCCACAGGGTCGGCGGACCGACACCAACATCGGTCACATTCAGCCGTCCGCCCGCCGCCCTGCCCGCTGAACTTCCCGGGACAACGCTGTCGATACTCGATCAAACAGTAATGAGGGCGGACCCGATCAAACAGTGATGACCGCAGAGCTCAGGAATCGTTAAGGTCCATCCCGCCCGAACACGTGGTCATAAACCTGTCATAAACCCGGTTATAAACCTGTCAGAAACACCACGGACGTCGACATCATCGTCGACGTACCCTTCCCCACGAGATCCTAACATTCGACCGTGGTCTTTAGCGCGGGGCAACAGTTCCCACAATGGGCACGGGTGAGGAACACCTAGCCGCACCATGGCATGCGCAGGGCCCCACAAACTAATCCTGAATGCTTGCAAGGAAACGTTTATGGTTTGACTCGATGGGTTTGTCGATCGCGCATGAGTTATGAGACGCGTATCGATATTGCGTTACATGGCGGCCAAACGTTCTGAGGAACCGTAGCAAATGTCACAGTGCCTATTAACTCATGGGTGCATGTGCAGAGTGATGACTGTCATATGGCGAAGCAATGCCAATCGTTTTCATTGATTTTCTCATCGCCCACACCCATCTGCAGCCCTGTCAGCAAATGCTTGATGTGTTCAAAGGTTTGCTGTTTTGTGCCCTCTGGTGCACTCTCGCGGGATTATGCTTCCCGAATGTCTGCAGCCCCATTTATTCAGAACTGATTTCACTTCAAAAATTCCACAACAATTTATCGGCGTTGTAAATACAAAACCTTTTCAGGCGTTTTGGAAAGTCGCACCCATGTTGTGGTGGATGGAACTAGTATACACCTCTAGAGCCAAAGGCTACTCAAAGAGTATAGCTGCCCTGTTGTCACTAGCTGGTAAGCATGTTAGCTACTAGCCCTTACAAGCAAGGCCGCGTACAGGCTCTCAGGGTCCACCACAGGGCAGTGTTCACCCGTAGCATAGGGAGCGGGCGGCTTCAGTGGCCGCTGTTCACTCACTGGGTAGCTGCTGGGTCTCGTGGGTGCACTTGCAGGCGAACCTGAGCTTGCAGTAGTCGCGCTTGTGCTGCAGCAGGTCGGCCAGCGAGCGGTACATCTCGCGGCAGTTGCCGCAGATCAAGATGTCCGGCCCCGTGCCTGCCGTGGCCCACAAGCACTCATGCACACCCCGCGATGAAGCGCTTGATTGCATCAGAGGTTCAGCGATGGGAACACGATCACCAGGCTTTGGAATCGTGCCCAACGCCAGGCAGCTATCCGCTCGTTTAGAGAGCACGGCTCGGGACATGGAAAAGAAACCTGGTGGATCTAGCAATGAGGGTGGAGCTACATGGATGAAATTCAGTTATATATGACTTCATTAGACCTTATACACTTCAAGGTAATCAGCAGAAGTAAAGATTGTTCAGTTAAAAACAACATTCATTCAAAAGCGAAATATTGTAATTACTGAATGCAGTAAGTGAAACTCTTGCCGAGGCCTTCTTGCTGCCCAAATGTCCGCGAACGGACAGTTAGTTTACGGCATGTCCGTAAGCCTGCCACCCTGGAGGACATAATTCCGGTAACTTTGACCCATGTTTTGCTGAACCGACGTTTTTCTCACCTTTGACGATCATTTGGAGGCTTTCAGGTGCATTAAGTGCCAAATGCTAAACGAACTAACGGTGAACAGAAAGCTGCTCCTGAGAATGCTCGTAAAACTGCATCGGTTTATTGCCAAAAAGATTGGTTCTTGGATTACCTTTGTTTAATAAAACCAGGCTATGAGGGCAAAAATAGCCAACTCATGTGCGCTGTAATTCTTAACAGCTGTTTGAGCTGTGACAAACGTACAAGTGGTACCACGCAGCTGCTGATACCATGCATCATGCACCAATAGTTGTGCACCGGTGAATGTTAATTATAACATGTCAAATAGGTTAAAGTGACGCAAAGGTCGAGCTTATCTGTGCATTGGCCCTACCTCTCAAATTCCCTTTGGCGCCCCTCAAAAGCTAAGCAATGTGTAAAGATGCCGGCGAAACGAACAAGGCTGACTAGCTCTTGCTGAAATGCATTACATTCTTGTTAAGGTGCTCAGTAATTTGTTAAGTCCGGTCACAAAGTACGAAACGTTGTTCCCCAACTATTTCGCACTTCACACAGCTAACATGGTTTGAAAACATGACGGCCCTTATTTGGGTTACATAGAACTGAATCACCGTTAACTATGACAAGTATGAACGAAGCAATACAACATTGTGGTCGGGGAGTAAGTCCTTTATGACAAACGAACATTATCGCGAACTTGAACACAAAACGCAGTTGTTCGGACCTCAAGAGAGAGGTGTGAGCGCAAGACTTGCCTCGGACACGGAGCCTAAATTATAACCTTACCTATAAAACCGCTTAAAGCACATCTACTCGACATCTACCATCATTACAAATGCTTCTAAAGGTCTTTCAGACATGGCTTAATATGACATCTGAACCAGGTCAGGTGGGGTTCATTTAGATCGAAATTAATAAGTTCATAGCTTGATTCACATTATCATACAAACGCGGGTGAAACAACATTCATCAAACATTTACATCGAGCGTTATATGACAGCTGGTGGCCGGAATGCGTACAAAGCATGGTAAACACTCTGTCAACTTATCAAAACGTCAGGCATGCACAGCAAGATGTTACTGGGGCTTGAGTTACAGGATGCATTTAAATAATCAATGGTGACTGAAACGTCATTCTATGAACGTTGCCTTGAGCCATCTAGTTGGGTCATTTCGTCGGGGAATGCCTACCGTCGATGGGTGTATCTGCATGGAAATGGCTCTGCTCTGACAGCCACTGCATGTGAATTGCGCAATTGAAAAGCCGGAGGGCATCTCCATTTATTTTTCGAAGCACACGCCGGATGGAAAATGACCTGACTTGGGCATCAGGACTCCGCCAGTACTTCCCCTCAATAGCGCAGTCGTGCACAAATGTTGGGAGAGGAAGCAAAATAGCGAAGCGCTTCCACTCCAGCGCCACATTACGACATCGCTCGTCATCTCGTCCTGCCCTTGGCTGAATGCACTCACAATATGTCTTCAGGTCGTCGAGGCAGACTGTGCCCTGCGGCTTGCGCGCCGGCGGCGTGGAGGGCGGCTTGGCGATGATGGTGCGCGGCGAGCCGACGGGCGCCGTCGGTGGCGGCACGATCACACGCGCTCGCTTCATCGGCGGCGACGCGGCCGCCAGCCGCACCGCCGCCGCCGCCGTGAACGGGTTGGCCGCCGCTGCCGCGTAGTACCTGAAGACGGAGGCTCGCTACATTCTTGTGGTGGTGACAGCACGGCAGGGTTGTGTATTTGGCCACCGACTTCATGTTGCGTCTGACTGCGGCAGGTTTATTTAATCCGCTGCCGATGAGAGGTCGTGTAAGTCAGGTGTTTGTCGGCTGCCGCCACCATGTGTATGGGAGTGGTAGGTAAAATTGTTATTCGGCGTCGTTGAATGGTCACGGAGATGAATTTCCTTATCTCCACTACAATGCCAACAGCATCTTTCGAAAGGCGTCCGATCGCGCCAGCCTATCGTGAAGGAATGTCAACGGCATCACCTGCGAAGGTGCTCTGGTCTGCGACTTCCGACAGACATCCGTTATGAACAGGGACAAAGGTGGGCTGGCTGTGTTGCAGGCAAGCCACGCAATAATTAACCGATTACGCCATCAGCTAGTAAGAAGCGAAGATGCACGGTGCTTGGGAGGTGCGCAGCCGCGAGGCCAGGGAAGCGGCAGCCGTCGCTCCCAGACCCCGCGCCCATGGCTGCGGTCGCCAAACGAGGCGGATCAGAGCGCTACCTGACGGACGGGGCGGTACACAGGGGCGGACAGCCGGCCGTCACGGGGGGCACGGTATGCCAACCACGTGTGGGGCGTCCGCCGGCGGAGACACGCGCCGCGCCGTGATTAAACATCCGACCGTCACCCGGCCAGCAGAAAAAGAATACGGCCGGTCACGTGACGGCCGCCGGCGGCAGGAATAGAGCCGGCGCGCCGAAATAGCCCGGCACCTGAGTATCTTGGCTGGCGCGGCCGGTAGTGAGATACTGGCTGGCGTCTCCACCGCGTCACGGCCGACACAGGGCAAATTGTCACAGCTGGGACACTGACGAGCCGCGGCACGCTGACACGCTGAACGGTGACGGTGTCGCCATACCGCCGCGAATGTCGCAAGGACGCGCCGGTGACACGGCGCGAAATCAGAGTTTTGCGCATGGGGCGCGCAGCTACACTCGCCGATAGTGGTGCGTTTGTTGGAAACGGTGATGGACTGGCCGCGGAATGGGGGAGAGGCTGATAAGAGTTGACGGGTAGAGGACACCGCAGTCTCTGAGATGTGCTGATGCTGCGCGAATCGCACGTCGCTTCACGGTCACGGCTGGCTCCAGCCGCGCCCAAGTGATAACGGTGAGCGAAGTCGAGCGTTGCACCGGTGTAGTCGACTCGAATCACTATGGCATGTCGGCTGTCGACGCTGGAGCGCCGCCGAAGATTCGGACTGTCCGGGTTTCACCGGATCAGCTGAGCGGCAGCCGATCTACTGAGTGACACTGTGATTCACCGCGTGACACTTTGATTCACCGCGTGACACTGCGATTCACTGCGTGACACTGTGATTTGAGTCGACATGCCAGGCGTGATGTGCCGCCTCCCGCCTCCTCCCCGCCTTCCGTCAGTGGCGGCCTCTCGGTGAGACGCTCACCACCTGACACTCTGACACCTGACACTGACACCACTGACACACTCTCCACCTGACACTCCCGGGAGGCAGGGGCTGGCGATCATTCACGAGGAGACGGGGTTCATGTGCACCATCTGGAGTCCTTGGGTAGGCAAACGATTGCAATTATTCATACTCGGCGGAGCAATCTGAATCCGAGCATGGTCGACCAATGGCCGGCAGTTGGGTCTAATGGGTTGTAATGAAAACCGACGGAAAACAAATAGCGGGATCACCCATAAGCCCCAAGCGCAGACCATGCAATTAGATGCTCTAAGCCGGTTTCGGTCAAACAATTTAGCTCAACAGACCCGGGCTAATTCGGTCCCGCTTGGCGAGCGCAAGGGTGTGATGGCTTGGCTGCTGGCTTGCGAGGCAGATAAGGGCAACTTTCCTGCAAAGGCTGCCACATGGTTGGGAAGCACAACGCGGCAGATGTTTTAAGAGGTGCCTGGTAGGTGGTTACTGAAGGGGTCGAGATCGGTGGCAATGGACATCGCGCAAAATTGGCAGTGAATGCACCTGGCGTTTGCATGGCGTGCGCATGCGCAAACAGAAATAGTTTTACTTGAGAATGAAGAGACAGGAACATAACCAGGGGGCAAAAGAAGTGGCCTGACCCTTCATGAGTTGGAAACCACCTGGACACCTCCAGGCAGCAGAAAGGTGCCTTAAGTTTATATCTGATGATTTTTTATAACTTAAAATGCAACAATGATGGATGATGTTTTAGCAACTTTTCCAGAACTGCGAAACCGTTTTCCAGTTCCAGCACATGGATCGGCCAGCAGACACATGTTAGTCTAAATTGTGCTTATGTCTTAAAAATTGGGCTTAATCGGATTGGCGAGATGGTTTTGGTCGCGTTAGGGAAAACCGTAGGACACCCTCAGTTTGCCAGGTCCTTTCGACAAGTGTTCACCGTTTCCGCTTGATGAAATCCAGAATATACGTTTACGAAAAAGCACGTATCACTGCGACCTAACCACGTAGTAGAATAATATTTGGGGACCAAAATACAAGCACTTGTCGAAAGAGGACCTCGCACAGAGCCCCCCCCCCCCCCTTCCCTCCGCGCCATGCTGGCCCCATGATACGCGCCCTGGCTGCTGCGGCCCTGGCTGGGAATGTCGCTGTACGTACGCGGACAGGTCCGGATAGTACGACATGGCGGCGCTCCCGGCACGCGCACTGGCACCCGAGCTCGGCCGCCGAGCCGTCCGCACTGACGGCCGCGGCGCCTATTTTCGACGCGGCGAGGCCCGGCCGACGGCCGGCGCGGCACGTCAGCTGACTCACGGCCGTACCGACGGCGACCGGCGCGCCGCCCCGCGGCCGCGACGCGAAGCAGTCGGCCGGCCGCCGCTTGTGACCGGGAGTCCGGCGCGCGGTCGTCACGGTGGCGCCGGCCGCGACCGTGACGTTGTCGTCCGGCCCGCATCGGTCGTGTTCGCAGACGCTGCTCGGCGTCACGTATCGAGCGCTGGCATCTGCATGTGCTGGGCGCTGGTATGGTAACGGCTGTGCCGGTCAGACGCTGTAATGGTGGGTCGTGATCGATATGGCCCGGCTGGCTGCAGGCTACTGTTGCCGCCCCTGCACTGCAGCGGCTCTGCGGACGGGCCGGCGCCTCAGGCGGCACCCATCGCGACCTGCTGGCGCCGGCGCACCTCGTCCCTTCAGCAGTCATCTCTCCTGACAGCCATACACAGAGCTCTTCAGCGCAGCCGCACTCTGGAGAGGCCGCTCGCCCCTGCCGGCCAGGCCAAGGCTCAAGCGGACTAGCTTGGGCTTAAGCCTGCCGCACCCTTAGACACAGGACTTGATGGCGCGCGGCATTCCCCTGAGACCGGGCTTAGCATCTGTTTTCAGGCTACGCTGCCGGTCTCCATTTAAGGGCGCTATTTTCCTGGAGTAATGCCCGGCCGGACGAGGAAGCGTCACCTCCCCCTCCGGTGGCCTGCGCGCCGCTGGGCGCGCCGTGCGTCGCATTTGGAGACCTGCTGAGGTCAGACGACATTGAGTCCATCACAGAGAGACTCTGAACACGTGTCACAAGATGAGATCCGGGGTGAGAGATGCGAGGCTTAAGGTAGGAACGTATACAACATGCATTTAATTAGCCAGCTACAAAGGAGTGGAGATAGGTTGGTAGGTAACAAGGGAAGGGTACAGAAAGGAGATAGAGAGAAAAAAGAGGGAGAGAGAAAGAGATAGAGAGAGAGAGAGAGAGAGGGATAGAGAGAGAGAGAGAGAGGGGGGAGTGTGTAGGTGTGGGTGTGCGTGTATGCGTGTATGAGTGCACTCAAAGGAGAGAAGTGCACCAATAGACATGTGAGAGAGGGAAATGCGGAACGTTGATACAAGGGGTGACGGGATAAAACGACGGACAGGGACCAGAGGCCAGCACGGTAACGGTGAAGGCAGGGTGTGTAAGCTGTAGACTTGGGACGGCGCGCAACTTACCAGTCCAGTTGGCTTTTACTGGCACCCAGCCGTCGCTGATGGGGCTTCGCGCTCTCCGGATCAAGGAATGAGAAGTCGGAATGCAGCGCCGGTCCTGTGGCAGAACGTAACTCAGGAAACTGATCTCGACTTCATGCCTAGTTGTTTGACACTGTTCTAATGAATATTCCACAGGTGTTTTATTTTCTTGGCGCCATAAGCGCCCATTGCTGCCAACCAAAATAGGACCAACGTAGACAAGCTGAGTGGCGTACACACATGCGCACATCGATGTGAAGATCAGGCGTCTGTGGGATTTCGTGGCATAGTTGTCATTTTTATTTTCGGCCTGATCACCTTGATCTGCAATAAATCACTCCATTCGTGAAATGTAGCTCCATTTATACAGTGTCGTGGACGTAACGACACTTTTTTAACGAGCCAATTTTGTTCGAATGATTAACAGTTAACATGATGAAACACCACTCTGGACCGCAGGTGCTTCGCCCATCCCGTAAAAATCATGATGAAGCGCTACGATTGTTTTACTAAACGTTACCAAATCGCTTTGATTCTGTACCGGAGTGACAAGTTTAAGTCTACGATTGATGTCAGTTTAAGTCAGTCAGTTGTAAGTCTAAGGTAATCATTTTAAGTTTATCCCGGAGGCATGCTTTGGCCGATCACAGAGCATTGATCAGTACTGCCTCACTGCCCACCGCTCACAATAAGTGTCCTGAGCATGCTGTCCAGTACTCGCGGCCGGCTGCTCAGCGGCCGGTGTTCGCTGCGATCTGCCCTGAGAGCTCGCTGCTCATCACACAGCACTCAGCGATGGCTCTCACTGGCCTCAGCTCACTGCGCGGTTCTCATGGTCCGGTACTCGCTGAGTACCTGCCGCCTCTTCCCGCCGTCCCCGCTCACCGAGTCCTGGGCCGAGCATGCTGGCGAAGGCCGCCTGCAGGGGCTGCACCAGCGGCAGCGGCTCCAGGCCACCGTATACGGGAACACCTGGCGAAGGCAGGAGCCGACAGGCAGTCAGGGGAGACCTCAGTACCCAGGAGCCGACAGGTAGTCAGAGGGAGCCCTCAGTACTTGGGAGCTGACAGGTAGTCAGAGGGAGCCCTCAGTACTTGGGAGCCGACAGGTCGTCAGGGGAGCCCTCAGTACTTGGGAGCCGACAGGTCGTCAGGGGAGCCCTCAGTACTTGGGAGCTGACAGGTAGTCAGAGGGAGCCCTCAGTACTTGGGAGCCGACAGGTAGTCAGAGAGAGCCCTCAGTACTTGGGAGCTGACAGGTAGTCAGAGGGAGCCCTCTGTACTTGGGAGCCGACAGGTCGTCAGGGGAGCCCTCAGTACTTGGGAGCTGACAGGTAGTCAGAGGGAGCCCTCAGTACTTGGGAGCTGACAGGTAGTCAGAGGGAGCCCTCAGTACTTGGGAGCTGACAGGTAGTCAGAGGGAGCCCTCAGTACTTGGGAGCTGACAGGTAGTCAGAGGGAGCCCTCAGTACTTGGGAGCTGACAGGTAGTCAGAGGGAGCCCTCAGTACTTGGGAGCTGACAGGTAGTCAGAGGGAGCCCTCAGTACTTGGGAGCTGACAGGTAGTCAGAGGGAGCCCTCAGTACTTGGGAGCTGACAGGTAGTCAGAGAGAGCCCTCAGTACTTGGGAGCTGACAGGTAGTCAGAGAGAGCCCTCAGTACTTGGGAGCCGACAGGTCGTCAGGGAAGCCCTCAGTACTTGGGAGCTGACAGGTAGTCAGAGGGAGCCCTCAGTACTTGGGAGCTGACAGGTCGTCAGGGGAGCCCTCAGTACTTGGGAGCTGACAGGTCGTCAGGGGAGCCCTCAGTACTTGGGAGCTGACAGGTAGTCAGAGGGAGCCCTCAGTACTTGGGAGCTGACAGGTAGTCAGAGGGAGCCCTCAGTACTTGGGAGCTGACAGGTAGTCAGAGAGAGCCCTCAGTACTTGGGAGCCGACAGGTCGTCAGGGGAGCCCTCAGTACTTGGGAGCTGACAGGTCGTCAGGGGAGCCCTCAGTACTTGGGAGCTGACAGGTAGTCAGAGGGAGCCCTCAGTACTTGGGAGCTGACAGGTAGTCAGAGGGAGCTCTCAGTACCCAGGAGCCGACAGGTAGTCAGAGGGAGCCCTCGGTACTCGGGCCGGACGCCGAAATCAGAGTACATGGAGAATGCTTGTGGTCAGAGGGAAGATGAGGGACTTACGCGCACACACGGAGAACGCATACCAAGCATGAGCCATTCTGGTTACGGGATGTATCTCGGTTGTATTTTCAACTCTTCTTGTTCATTCAAAATAAAAAGACAACAGCTTTGATCGAGCAGGGCGGTTTAATGCCAATGAACCTAACGTGGGGTCACATGCAGTCATGGTATACCCGTTAGACCTCGCAGGTCATGGGACGATTTGATTCCGGTTTAGAGATGTATTCCGGATTAATCGCTGGATTTCAATGACACTCACATTACTTGGGCTTGGAACTCCTGACATCTGACCTCAAAAGAAAAGCCTTTTACCGCATCAAACAGCTGAGCTAGCCATACTTTTTCCAGAAGATCTGCATGTCAACAATGCCAAAATAAAGTTAACTGGAACCTAGATATATGGTACAATACATATTTTTGTACCGTGTGCCACACTTCTGTATAGTGGTTTTGAAATAATTAAGAACTATGTAATGGATGCTGTTGCTTCTAAAGGAATAACGAAAACTAAGTTCCCAGGCCACACTAGGTCCTTGACTGAGACAAACAACATTCCTCTATGGCAGCCTTACCTTATATTATGAACCCATGCTACTGATATCTGTATTCATGTGGTTGAAATGCATACACCCATACCTTATGGCTGGTGCGTGTGTGTGTATGTGTGTGTGTGTGTGTGTGTGTGTGTGTGGTGTGTGTGTGTGTGTGTGTGTGTGTGTGTGTGTGTGTGTGTGCGTGTGTGGTGTGTGTGTGTGTGTGTGTGTGTGTGTGTGTGTGTGTGTGTGTGTGTGTGTGTGTGTGTGTGTGTGTGTGGTGTGTGTGTGTGTGTGTGTGTGTGTGTGTGTGTGTGTGTGTGTGTGTGTGTGTGTGTGTGTGTGTGTGTGTGTGTGTGTGTGTGTGTGTGTTGGATTAGGTGTGCGGAACGTAACAGGAGCCTTGAGCAAAACGGGACGTGTCGGAGGAGGTGTTTCACACGTGTTTCTGACATACAACAGATGTATTTGTTTATCTTCACACGATATTTGACCGACTCTTTCCCGGAGGGAAGCAGCTGACTGACACCGGCCAGTGCATTGTATTTGCCATCTTCATCAGTGTTGAAGCTATCGCGTGACGCCATCATAACAGCTATAACCACGGCAGCACAAAGGCTCACCGGTGGGGCTTTGGGGCAACGCGGTTTCATTTGACATTTATATGAGATGAACCGGCATAAAAATAAGATATAATATTCTTTGACACGTCTCATTTGAGTCAGAGTCACGTGCGAAAGAAATGGGCAGGTGGGATGTTTCAAAATAAATGCGGTTCTATCGTTCTGTTACGAGAGTATTTTTGACTTCGTTAGTTCTGTTATGACTTGACTGTGAGCTGGAAGCTCGGACAAGTTAGTAAGTTACCTCCGACCCCCTGGCCCAGGCTGGGCCACGTCGGAGCCCTGCAAGGCGCGTGCTTCTGTAAAATCCCATTTTCAACGCACCCAGACCTCTGATCCCTTTCGCTGGTGGCGACGGACGCTTTGAGAACAGGAAGATCTTTCACGAGCCTAATTGGACAATTTCACGGGTCGTGACACCACGTGGCCTCTTCTTGCCGCCGTCCACGTGCTGTATTGGCCGATTCCAATTCACGGTAGGTCTCGTGGTGGAAATAAAGCGGTAAAAATGCAGGGTCGTCTTTAAAAATGGTATCACTACAGGCCAAGTCCACGCGGACTGACAGTGACATACACCCATCGTACACACTTTCACGTGTATTGTGTAAACAATCAGACTGTTGCGCGCTCCTTTGGGGCGGCTCACAAAGCTGAAAAACCCGATATTACCCACTGTTGGTGCACATACATGTCGCAGGTGTACTGCCAGTACTGGTGACCTTCATAGTATTTAAAGCTAAGGTCACATTAGATGAACGCATGAGTTTAGTGTTGTCAACGATCACGGTCATGACAAACTATTTGATCAGCTCCACTGTCGTGCTCTGATATAACTTAGGTGCGCTTGGGGAGTAATTGATGCCAATATATTGAATCGAGCTCTCACCACAACTGATAAAATCCGTCAATGGAAACCTTGAACTGACTTCGTGTGACTAGAGCTGGCACGTAAACCAGTGGAGATGGCATAAAGTTATAGATGGCGTGCAGGGCTAAAGTGCATAAAGTGGATTGCCTAAGTGCTAACGTGCAGACATGCATGCATCACCATACGTTATGTGTTTAGTCTGGCGCATCAGGTGTAGGATAAGCAGAATCCAGATGTCTTGTTAATTCTACACTATGCATTCATGAATTGCTTCGATAACTACATAGCCACAAAACTTTAAAAATGTATTTTTTAATATAAAACAAAATCGCAGATATTTAGCTCTGACGCCATCTCAATATTTACTTGTTTACCTATTTATCAGCCATTTGAAATTAGGTGTAATAAATGTACAACCATCTTTGGTGAATTTTATCGCGCTCTGGTCTCTTAGTTTTCGTGGCAAAGTTAACGCGATCCCGTACCTGCAATGCAGTGAGGTCCCAATGATACCAACAGCGACGGTTTCGAGGATCCTGTCTAGATTATGACTTGACTTAACGACATCACCTGAGGAACGTAGTGCTATTAAGTTTCCTTTGTTACGTAAGTCTGTGTTGTTGACTGCTGGAATGCAATCTAGTTATCCACCGCACACCAGGTGTCTATACCAGTTTTCGCCGAAGCGGAACAGCTCTGCAGTGCTGCTTCGTTACGAACGTTGCAAACAGTCGGGCTGCACGCCATTTCGGTGGGCCGGGTATCACTTCCAAGTAAACATGAGACATGACACCTCACGGAAGCGGACCATTCACTCGTTGCTGTTTATTTCAACCCTGTGTGATGCGCATTCCAGACAAATAGCAGCCAAATGCTATAAACGATGCCTGAAGCGTGTCCGTCCTTCACCATTGTCGCTACCATTCCTCCGACGGTCCCAGGCTGGGACATCACTCCCACACGACGTCTCGATGGAGAAGGTGGGTTACCATTCTCCGACAGCGCGGCCCGAGCCCTCCGGCCGGGAGAGGCGGCGTACACTCGCCGTGCGGCGGCGGTGAGCGTCCCCGGGGTCCCTATACGGTGCCTGGATGGAGGAGAAGGGATCCTCCGATGGCGCGCCTGACGTAGCCCGAGCCCTCCGGCCGAGAGGCGCGGCGCATACCTGTCGCGCGGCGGCGGTAAGCGCCCCCAGGGGTCCCTGAACGGTACCAGGCCCCGCTCGCGGGGCGCCGGTCGCAGCCGCGCACCCAGACAGCCCGCCGCGGCTGGAATTTACGGCCATCCCGGGCCGGTGACAGCCGAGGCCCGCCTGGACGCTGAATAAAGGATGTGGAGGCATCACTTCTGCGATAGAAGCCCGCCTCGGAATGGCGCCACGAGCAGCTCGTGTGGTTGCGCAGCACTCGTTAAATACTCGCATCGCAGGTAGAATGTGTACATTAATGTACCAGGCTTTTCTATTGATGTGTCCCATTTTTCCTAAAGTTGCGGTGGGCTGCACCCCAATGGTGGGGGGGGGGGGCGCCTAAATTGAATAAGAAACTACACGTCTAGACCTGGGCCTTGCAAAATCAAACAGAGACATGTACAATTTAGACAACATGGCAAAGAATACGGCACCCAGAAAAGACTAAGGCTACTACTATTGTCCATTTTGTTTCCTCAAAAGCACAAAAGCACGCACAAAAGGATTGGAACACCCGCCTCTGCATTAGCCTCCACTCCACTGCCATGCATCTTAATGCTGTTTCGGGTGAGAGCACACTGTGATTTTACGCTGGATGCGTGCAGCTGATATATATATATATATATATATATATATATATACATATGTGTGTGCGTATATAAAGATGTGTATATATAAAACCGTCCTTTCCGGGAGCACCTTATAAACACCGTTACCCATAAGTCGGATGTTCCATTGTTGCGCAACCAATTGTGTCATTGCGTCTTATGGCGTAGGTTGGTAACGCCATAGGTTGGTAACGCCTTGGTCTGGCAGCATTCGTCACGGTGCCATATTTGTGCGATTTGAATAGACAGCGAGCAATAGCAATGTTCAATGCGCATTCATTCGCCCCATATCCAGGCCATTAAGGCCGTTGCCTACCAGGTCGACAAAAAGTGACTGCACGTGCGACCGTGCCAAAAGATTCAGCGGCATGATTACTATGCGTTCAATCAAACAAAATTCCAACACAACTTTGCTGGTCGGGGATAGAACATACATGATGCCGACTAAACACACTTTCCTGCTCGGCTGCGAGCGGGTAGTGAAACGGGTCAGGCGTGTAGAATGTTCGTGACGTCACGTAGAATCTATGCCGCCCGGCTTACTTCAACACACTCAAAGCATGCGTGTACATCTCTTAAGACGCGCTCGCGTGGCCGGTTAGTCACCCTCGCTCGGATGGGGGGTCAATTTGACCCCCCCCCCCCCCCGCTAAGATCTCGGAAACTAAGAAAGCTAGAGACGCCAAATTTACAGTGTGTGTTGACCTGTACGTGAACTCACTGAGATCAATGTTTGAGGCTCCTAAGTCATGACCTTGAGGTCAAGTAAGGTCAAAAAAGTCAAATTTCAGGCTGGTCTCCAACGTGCCCCCAGAACCTGGATAACTGTTCTAAGTAAAAGTTCACAAGCTCATTTAAGGTCAGTGACCTTGTTTGATCTTTTGAAGGTCATGGTGACCAAAATCATACAAGACTGCTCCGAGTTTTGCATTTGAATAAGCGACAAGGCTTACGCTAGGCAGTATGCTCCTAAAAACAAAATGTCCACCTGGGTCATCTTAGGTCAATGACCTATTCTGACCTCTAAGAAGTCAATGAAAGATGTATGATGCGGTTTCTGCTATCAATAACTTCGAAATGAGCACCAGAAACTATCCAATACAGCAAGCCCTAGAGTAATAAAACAGGTTGGTTTTGACCTTGGTCTGACCTTCATACCCGACCTTAGGTCAACGTAATTTGCTCCTTCAATGTTGATGTTGCCTAAGAAAGCATCTCAGAGATGCATGGCTCCGTCAAACACTCCGTTGTTGCATCAGATTGAACGATTCCCTAGAAATTGCCTTCGCTGAAACCATGGCCTGACTTTGACCTACCATAGGTCAGTGACCTTGCAAGGTACATATAAATTTTTGGTGCCAGACAATGTTCTATTCAATTGTCTAGAGCATTGGAAAATTTGGCGTGGCTACACTGCGCCGTTCGGAAACCATCCTGGACAAATCTTTGGCGGGTCAATTTGACCGACCCCGCCCGAGCGCGTATCAACGCATCTGCGTGTGAGTTCGGCACTGTTAGTAATTAGAAGTATTTGGCCTCAACTGGTCAGAAGTAAACGTGAAATGTTTCCTGCTCATGATGACAATTGTCGTAACAAGGAAAATCGAAACAAATATGCCGGTAAAAAGGATACACCAAGTCGGCCAAACAACACGGCGAGACCCATGTCCCCTTTACAGGCGATTGATCGCGTCAAAAATGGTTTGTAACTGTATTTCTAGGTCGACACGAATATTCTAGCTACAACTAAAACATCATGTCGGCCAGCTGACGAAAAACAGCCGAAATGTTGTCGATAAATGTTTTGTCATTTGACCTAACCAATACGGAACACGCATGTCCAAGCACTTATGTCGGGCACGTATGTCTGACAGCGCAGCCACATTTGATGGTGGCACCATAAATGTTGCAGATACTATATGAGAGCACCACTATCCTTCCATAAGGCTTCTGTTATAGCCCAAACATCGCAGACATATTGTGATGTGAAAAGCAAATGAGTGGGAAAAAGAAGAACACGAGATGAGTTGGGGTCAACCGGGCACAAAGCATCTGAATGGTACTTTTAGACTTGAAATAGGCATCGGTCGATCCGTACATTTTTCACTCTGAGCAACTCCAAAGCTGTGTTGAAAGTAGCCAGTGGCATAGCTCTTCTTACCTACAGCTCTGCGCGAAAACAATTTCAAATAGTTCAATGTTGAACAACAATACCTCCGTACACTTTATAACTCATGCAGGTACCACACCGTGGTATCAACAAAACAAAGGTGGATACATAACGCCACTTTAGGAAAGCCTAAACGATGTTCTGAGTTGCAAAGAGTGGTCGTAGATATTCCACATAAGACGTCCGTTCGTAAAAGTTGTAAAAAACAATCTTTAGCGTCAAGAATTGCCTCAATTTTGTTAGGCTTTGGCCGTTTTGGGGGATGGTCAAGTGCATCCGCCTCCTGGATCAGCCCTGGGAACGTACGAATTCTGAGATGGACAACCATTTGGAAAATCAGTCTTACGAAAGCTAAAACATCGGCGGAATTATGTTTTTTTTTTAAATCAGCAGAATCTCCTATAGACTAAGTCCTTCCTGAAGCACGGCAAACTATGTGTTATGTTGTTGTGTTATGATACTGATGCTAAACTACAATAAACTGACACGATCTTCCTGCATCTCCTATTCACCCACAAATCCACCAAACACACCGTGCATTGCCGTTCCTTGATGAGCGCCGGGCAGCGGGCAGCGGGCAGCAGGAGCGGGTAGCGGCGTGCTGGCCCCGTCACGTCACCGACCGTCACGGCGCCGCTCGGCTGCTGCGCTGCGAGCTCGAGCCGGTCCGCGGGTGACCTGCTGCGGGGGCGTCACCGCCCGCCGACACTGCGAGCGCCGCTGACGGCGCGCCTCCGGGCGGCGTGGGAGCGCCGCTCGCGTCTCGCCCGCCACTGAAGCCGGCCGGCGGCGGCCTGCCCCCGCGCGCAGGCCGACGCGGCGAAATCGACGCACGTCCGCCGCGCCTGCCGTTATGAAATTCCCCGCCCAAATTACCGAACAGCGTTGGGCGCCGACGGAGCACGCCGTGCTATTCGTGCTCCCGTGGGAGGTGCCGGGTCGCACGGTTTTCGCCGGAGCAGCGGGACGGCTCGCACGAACTGGGCAGGGGCGAGCTCAGCGCCCACGCGCGGAGCTCAACACGGCGCCCTGTCTCGTATACATCCTGTTAACAAAGATAGATTTTGGGACATGTCGTAAGCACGCACACACGCGTTCTTACCGGCCCGCGCACTTGGAGGGCTATGGATGCGGGATACGCATCCCGCCGCCAGCGCCCCAATTACGCCACTGGGCCCTAATGTGGTACGCGTTGGGTGACGGCGGTAACGATATTGGGCGGAACCAATCTGCCAGGCACTGGGGTCGACCACCGGCGATAACTTCACGTCGCCGGTCGAAATTGGAGGATGCAGCGATCGCACGACCCATGCCGTTGGCGGGGTGATGTGACGGCCGGCGACGGACGTCGAGGTACGCTCATTACGGGCCGCATATGGCGAGCTCTTAAAGATGATTTGGCTATCAATTTCCACTGCTCGTCGCTTGTTAAGGCTGTGGCACTGTGAGATGGCATAAATCATCCCTCTGACGCCATAATTAAATGTCAAATTCCTCATTATTGGCCTTGAAAGCCATAAGTGAATATGGCGGCACAGATTGCAGTGCCGCACCATTTGAGCTATCAAACCTATCATCGGGCAGTGGCTCTGTGACAGTCAACGGCCTTTCTCTTCAGCGGCTCTGGGAGTTCCCAATGCCTAAGTGGACATGAAAGGTCTCTCCTTGGTTGTTTCCGATGCCCGTTGAGGGTTACAACGGCTTTTGTCCTTAACACCAAGGTATAAAGGACAAAACGAGATGACAAGTAATTAAGGGTGGGAGAGGGATGCGCTAGCTTCGGCAAGTTTGCATATGTTGTATCGCTTGGCTCTACTGCACTATATGGAGCAAGGAAACTGAGCGCGCTTTTTAAACTTAACTTTACATACATGATTAGCATTGGATGCCCATATTAGCGGTGGTGGGAGGGCCACTGTATTGATAACGTGGTTAGCCTGACGTCGAGCAATGCATCGCATTCCACTCGTTATCGCAACTGGCTCATGACAAACAGACCGCTCCCTAGTGAGATATCAGCCACTTGTAGAGGCAACTTCTTCAAAATTAAATTACGTTATATTCTATGACTGAAAATGTTATAAGGCTGTCGACGTCGCGAATGCACCGTGAGATTCTTTATGTGTTTCTCTATCGGATCGCAGTTGTTGTCAAGTCTCGCTGCTGATTAGGCGGCGGTATCCGGACCTTCCGCTATCGCGCAGAAGACCGTCACGTGCCCATGCTCGGTGACAGCTCAGCTTTCAATGCCTCGGTCACCAACCCCCGCCGCTCCTGTCATCGGGTGTAAAACATTAAAGCCGTTCGCACCAAGCACCTTGATGAATTGCCCGGGTCGATGCCGCCAGCCGAGGCAGCGGCGGCGGCGGCGGGGCCGCCAGCGCCTGCTCCGCCCGCTGCGACCGATCCGTGACCAACGGTCACACCGCGACGGTCCGAGGCCGGCCCTGGGAGCCTCTCCGGAATTCTCGAGGAGGAACTGTGTACCTGGTGGTGGGGTCCTGAGAGTGTGAGAAGGCCTGGAAAGAGCGGAGTAAGGATACGGTACGTGCCGAGCACAAATATCACGGACTCGAAGCTTTGTCGGATGCTGAGCTCGTCCTCAGCGACACAGTGGCGACTCCTTATGGGCCTGGCGCCGGACGATGCTATCGCTGATGATCGGTAATTGAATCCCCCGTGTAATTGGATTCTGAACAGGATGGACCAATAGATCCTAAGGAGCTAAGGGAGACGCATACGGCAACGGATCCTCGACTTGCAACGGGGATCTCGCCTAAAAATGCGGAGGAACTTGACTGCTTATTTATTTATCAATTCCAGGTAATAAATAGGCTGTTTATCACCCAGATCTCGACGTGTGTGATCAGAAACTTCACTGGTACAGCGCTGGCAGACGAGCCAGTTCATTCCACTGCCAGGTGCTCCAAATAGCATAGATCATTGCGCTTCACCACTGGCACATGTGCTAACGCCAAAGCAAACAGCACAACGGAACGTCAGCGGCCAAAGAAGACGCCGAGCGTTTACAGATGATCAATCTGGGTAGGTCGAGACCGTCATGGACTGCACACCTCTCAGAAGCGTCTCGCGTATTCGGGACGAAGAGCGATGTCTCCGATGATCTGTCGATGGCTGACGGGCCCCGGGCGCGCTCTCCCGCCGGATGACACCGCGTCACCTCGCAAGTTAGCCGGTGCCCTCGCTGAGGGCGCACCTGTGCCCTCCGCGACTCAGGTCCACCCGCCGACCGGCCCTGGCGCGGTAATCCGCAGGCTGATCGCGGTGCGTGCAGTTCAGCGCCGATAGCTCTGCTTCCGTTCGACATTTCGGTGACCTCGTCCGCGGTCTGCGGGGGGCGTCTCCGGTCTGCCTGGCCCAGCTGGGGCCGAGGTGCACCTAAGCTGCCAGAGCTTCCTAAAATCTTCCTTTCTTCCTCCCTTCCTTCCAAAAACAGTTTCCTAAAGCCTTCCTTTCTTCCTGCCTTCTTTCCTTCCAAAAACTTTAGAGGAGTTGCTCCATCTTTTTCTAAGAGTCATTACAACAGAAGGCCCAAACCACCTCATTTAAGTATTCATTTCACACCGATGTGTTGCTCATTACTCGGCACGCTCCGCTGAATTCTTGCCGACGTGCAGTGCGCGGTCACTGGCTGTCCTCCTCCCCCCCCCCCCCCCCCTCAATCTCCACCGTGCCGGTTGTCACACGCCTGGCAGCATTATCGGGCCGACCATTAGTCTATGGCCCGTCGCGTCTTCACGGCGCTGCCGCCATTACCGCCAATTCCCGCATCAGCGCCGGGTAAGCGGAGCCTCCGCCGTCGTCCCAGTTATGCCCGACTCGTGGTGCCTCCTCTCTGGCACGGTCGTCCTCAGCGGCCGTGCGGGTCCCGCCCGGGCACGGCAGCTGCCGTCGCCCACCGGTCACGTCAGCCGTGCCTGACAGGACCTGCCGTCGACCGTCACTGGCGGCAGGCAGGGTGTCGCCCAGGAGGCGGCGTGGGTTGCGGCTCGGCTGGCCGATGCGTGTGACAGCGGACTGGACATCACGTTTATTTCACATGCTTTTTTGTCAACATTTTTATCAACATCATATCAACATTTATCAACATTTTATCAACACATCAACATTGATCAACAACAACATTTATCAGCATTATACAGTGCGCCCAGTCTTTCAATCTCAAGCTCCAATAAAATACCATACACAAGACGCGACATTGGCCGCATCAATCATTTTGTGAGTTTTGTGGTATAGTTATTGTATTTCATTCGAGTTTGAGGCTATAGTTAAGAGCGCGCGGTAATATATTGATAAAGAGACACAGACTTTTCCCGAAGGGCTTGCTACCGATAAATGGAAGATTGAGATGCTTGTGAGAGGAGTTGCACAAAACAGCTTAACATACCACGATATTGGTCAGTTCAATTTAAAGAATTATGTATTTGCGGCTTGTGGGAACTGTGTTTTACAGGGTGCGCGCACCTCAGATTTCCGGTTTCATATCTTGTACGGAGACAAGCCAGACACTGGCTAAAACCGCCCTGAATAAGCATGCGAGCTGTCTGTAGCTGCCACGCAGCGTGTCCTGCACATGTGATGTTTGTAGCTGTCTGTAGCTGCTGCAGAGCTGTCTGTAGCTGCCGCGCAGCGGGCCCTGCACATGTGATGTCTGTAGCTGTCTGAAGCTGCTGCAGAGCTGTCTGTAGCTGCCGCGCAGCGTGCCCTGCACATGTGATGTTTGTAGCTGTCTGTAGCTGCTGCAGAGCTGTCTGTAGCTGCCGCGCAGCGTGCCCTGCACATGTGATGTCTGTAGCTGTCTGTAGCTGTCACGCAGCGTGCCCTGCACATGTGATGTCTGTAGCTGTCTGTAGCTGTCACGCAGCGTGTCCTGCACATGTGATGTCTGTAGCTGTCTGTAGCTGCTGTAGAGCTGTCTGTAGCCGCCACGCAGCGTGCCCTGCACATGTGATGTCTGCGGTGGCGAGCCTGAACTGTTTTCTGCACCAGAGCCGGCCGTAGATCAGCAGAAGCAGCAGCTCGGCACGCCCTGCGCGCACCAATCATGTGACGGCGACAGCCTGCGGGCCTGCTCATGCCAGATAAATGCGAACAGCGCCGTCCCATTATTGAATGTCGTACGTGCCTGGTTGAGCTCAACTGCAGGGGACGACTGTACTTCAGAAAATGAGGTCACGGCATTTATAATGCGTCGCATTCGACTGGGCGTACCATTTTGAAGCCCACGGAGGCCTTTTGATCAAACTGCGCCTTGTCCTGTTACCACATTTTTGGATGATGGAATATATCCAACAAATTTTCTGAGGCAATGGTTTGTCACTGGTACTGCGTTCCATGGCGATTACATTTTCTGTACTCATGCCTCTCCATCACATCTGCCTTTGCCCATGCACAATTAAAATGCCCTTCGCAAGTATATTTTAACTTGACAGGGATCAGAAATTGATGTGCCAAAAGTCGGTTATTTGTGCGTTTCTTTCCATAACCAAATGTCAGTGTTGGTTAGGCAGTAAACAATATAGTGCGGCGACTGTGCAGTGTGTGACTGATAACGCAATTCGCTGCAGCCAGACGCATATTTTAGTCGAATTG